GGAACATCGTGAAAATGCCAACGTTAGAACAAAACTCGTAGATCTTGATTCCACTGTGATTCGCGTTGACAGCGGTATCAACGGCGGTGTAAAAATATCAGTATTATTATATTTCTGAAGAGATTGAAATCAAGGTGTAACAAGCGATACGGCGCTTTTGCGTAACTGCCTGATTCACGACATATTTCATTTCAAGATGCGAGAATGTAAACAGAAAAGATAATCGGTAGATTGGAGTGCTTCGGACGATATTGTACTTCCTTCAAATATCATACGATACTATAACTAACGATGGATAAAAGCTGTTTCTGTAGAAGCCGTGAATTCCTGTAAATCTCTCGCTCGACTGGTTAATCTCTTTTACTGTGTCTTCCTCTTTCACTGATGCTACGCGAAGCTGCATTTTTGTTGACAGATGGGGGATGAACGATTGAAAGATTTTTCAAATCGCATGAGTTTTATCAAAGAAACTAGTAAGTACGAGACGAGAATACAGGTTCAAGGGATCATATAGATTTTATCGAGAGAAAGGAAATTTCGTGTTGTTTACGAGATGTATACAATGGAAAAGGAGAAGGAGCGCGTGCGCTCTGACAGGGAAACCTAGAGTTTTGCCAGGTTGCTGCTTCTCCAGACAGATATATTACGATTATCGTGAATTTTCTTACCCGTTGTGCCGAACTGGTCGACCTGGTGAGCACCAGAATTTACTCCCGCACCCCCCAGACCGTCCAGATCCTGCCACATTTCCGAAAACTCGCACTTTCCGGACACACGCACGCACAGAATCACCCACCTTCACTCGAGCGGCGCCATTTTCACTGTGTACTGACTGCTCGCAGCCTAAACGATCTAAGCGCCCTCCTCAATGTCGTAGATCTGTCGTGAACTAATAGCGCCATTTACTTCGCGGCGGTTTCATTTCTTTTTTCTTTTTATCGACGCACGGATAATGGCAGTGTCACAGACGGTATGTAGTGTATACACTTACTTTCTCGATAAACGATAACAATGATCTTGATTTTACCAACTTAGACGCATAGTACTGAACTATCCAAAAATGATATGGATATTCAGATAATTTTCTACGAAATTAGCATTAAGAAAGCAAAACCGAAATATTACGGTTAAAGTGATGACATTTCGTCTGATTTTGTTAAATTTTTCAAAACTTTAACATTAAATAGTGGCTGTTTGATGGCTTTTATTGGCTGTAGAAAGTGGCTGTCGGTCTGTGGTGGCAAGCTATTTTTCATTGCAGCCAGAAATTTTTTAACATCTTAAGCAATTTTTTAATGCGCCGAAATCTACTTTTATTATTCAGGAATAGCAAAAAAATATTTACATTTCAGTTTTCTAATTGTTAAAAAATATTCATACATTTCCTGAGGTTCCCTTTACAATAACAATTTATTGTGTATGAGTCGCTTAGAAATTAACGTCTGCACTATTAAATATGTCTTACGCGCCAACGTAGGTAAGAGGACAAGGCGACCAAATAATTTTTAATTTTTCGTTCTTTTATCAACGTGCTACATTATCGACAGCTGACTGAAATTCGTTTGTCTATACCATTTACCTACAACGCAACTTCCCCTCAAGCACCAGCAGTGGAAGACCCAAGAGTAATGGGGATGACCTGATCAGCCTATTTTGCCTTCATCTGACTAGGCTGTGACGTCAGAGACTTTACGTTTGCTTTGCTAGACAATATTAATGTAATATTTCACGTAAGAATGTAATTATGCTGTCAATTGGTTTAGAATGGCACTGAGGTTTGAAAAGATTGCGTGTTGTAGCTAAGCGGAAATTGTAAAGATAACAGAAGTAACAGAACACAAACTGGACTGTCTCCCAACAATGGTATTATTTTTGTACGTAACTTTTTGAAATTTTAATGCTTCGAACAATATTTATAATTACAGTTAGATCAATATTTTTCGTGATTTGAATAAACGGCTATACGTATATGATATTACTCTTTATAAACCAATATGGAAAATTTGTATTGTTAGATAGATATAATCTCCTACCTTTCATAATGTAAAGACAACAATTGATAAAAGATATCCCCATATGAAATATTGATTTTCGTATAAACTAAACTCTCACATTTTTTCACCAAGTTAACCTCTAGATTTAAGTATGAAATATTCCTTGCTGTTTATCAGAGGTAAAGAAACACCTATCTGTTAAAACCAAGATTTTTCTTCAATTCGCGTTGAACCCCTCCCATATTAGGTATATCATTCAACGTTACAAATTCAAAGCCAAAGTAAACAAGAAACATACTTGATCGTACAATAAAGTTTGAACAGATTTGTCATTTTTCAGTTACACGTATATAAATGTGCAAACGATGAATCCGACGAATGAGGAAAAATTGCATATCGCGCAATCTACGTTTAGTACGCATGCGCATGTGCACCTTGTTCGATCGTGTATGAACTATAGTTTATAGAAGCAACGCTGCAGGCACAGAAGTATACACAGTTATTGACTTCGCCGGGAAAACGGTTACCCCGGAATTATGGAAAAACCATTCCAACCGTTTACAACACAACATTACTACTTGAAAATTCTAAGCAATTTTTCGTGTGGAAATGACTGCAGTTTAAAGCTCCACACGTTCGTTCGGAATCACCGGAACATTAATGGACATTGGATCGTTACCTCTTCGTGAAATCACGAGGGAAGAAGGAAGGAAAAGTGTCGGTTGGAAATGCATAGTGTGAAATCGATCGATATCACCGGTGAACACCGTGGTGATACACGCAACTATGGAAATATCGATCGAACCTACAAAGGGATTGATTGTCCGGGATATAATGGTTGGAATATACAAACCCGTCTTCGTAGACAGAAGTCTTACGTCCACTGATAGTGTCCCAGAGTGACCCGTCGGTAACGTGATAGTGACCTAGAAAAAGGGCTGTGCAGATATGTAGACTGTGGTGATAGTTGTGTGTACTAAGGCATTCGTGTATAATGCAATTTCTGTACGACTTATCAAGCCTATGATACGAATTGAAACGGGCAGATATTGACAGCTCCCACAGTGACATAAGTATAAATTCTATGTTACGCTTAAATTTCTTCACACTTCTCGTCGTACTACGTATAGTGAATAATTTAGCAATGATTCCACTTTATGCACGCATTTTTTACACATTCACCGGAAAATTCACGTGAACTGTGTCAAGTTCCGGAAGACATCTGATTGCAGACGAAGTTAATAGTTGTACACTGTGTAAAAAAAGTCACGATCGTGGCTTTAGGGGACGTATCTACACCTCTGGATCGGTGGACATTTGTAAAAAAAACTTGCCGTAATATTATTTATAACAATGAAAATTAATGTTAAATTTTTTTTTTACATCAACGTTATTCTGCTCGACAAGAAGAGAAAAAGTTTGACAGAAGTCATATGCCGCAAACGAACAGTTTTCGAGATAGACGTTGATAAACTTTTACCACAATTTGATTGTGTAGAGTTACATACACGTAGAGACTAGGGCCTACGTAGAATCTAGACGAGTAGCAGATTTCGCTCGGTTCGGTCCTGCGTTCGAGTCGGTGCATTCTTTGTGTCCTTTAAACCTCGTTGTTCCTTTAACCGCCGTTTGCGCAGGGCACGCACACCATTACACCGAGCGTCTGCTACGCGGCTAGATCCTATGCGGTCGTAGGTCCCAATCTATACGTACATCTCTACACAATCAAACCGTGGCAAAAATTTATCTCGAAAACTGTTTAAAACTTTAAAAAGAAACGTTAATTTTCATTGTTACAAATGTCCACCGATTAAGAGGTGTAGATTCATCCCCTAAAGCCACGATCGTAACTTTTTCTACACACTGTACGATGATGGAGAGAACGTGAAACATAACGTGGCATTTTGTATGTGCATTTTAATCAGTTCAATACGCACAATTCGATTTACGTAGCAGTCGAAATGCTTAAAAGATGAAAAGTACAGTCCATAAATTCTAGACTACATAGAATGCAATTGCTGGAAACACTGTATCTCGACAGTCTATCAACTGTATTCGAATGATTAGAAATATCGTCTCAAATTTCACCACGTGTTCTTATTGCTTCTACTCGAATGGCGGCGCCCGGGTCAGTTTAAATCCCGACTGCAAACATAGGGCGCTCGTTTCTTCGATACGTCGTTAATTAATGTATTTATTTACAAATGTTATTTATTAAACCTAAAATTTATTTATCCATGTTAGATCGATTTCATGTACTATCGGGCAAACGAAAAATGCCAATTGATATTTTCAACATTTCAAGATTCTTTCTGTACTTGACGTGTTGTAAAGCTATATATACAGTGACCAACGTAAGTACACAGATCAATTAGCCACCCGAATTTTTAGAACATGCCACTGATGCAGGGACGAAGTAAACAGTTGGAAGAAAGCAATAAAATAAAGTAATAAAAATTGAAGCGATGAAAACGAAGATCGTTAGAAGAATTCGAATGAACTGACTGACGGTTCTTATGTAACCTGACGGAATGTTTCATTCTAGACAGGTAGTACCCGATTATTAATAACAGTAACAGTTTACGTAACAAAAGAACTATCACTATACTCGATAATTCTACAACAATGGTCTCTATACAAGAACTCTCGATAATTTACAATTCTCGCTCTCTGATACTCGCTCGTCGACTCTCTGACTCACAATGACCCGGGCGCGTCTCATTCACCCTATTTTATTCTTTCATTCGCCTCGTTCTCTTTTATCATTCACGTCTCTCTGTCGTTCTTTCTCTAGCATTCTCCGTTCATTCAGCTATCCTTTTCAACTAAACATTCACGCGAAATACATTTCTGTCGATTCCGCTGTCAGAAACCTCGCGAAACGACCAATTACATGAGCTCGCTGTATCTCTTCCACCGACTATACGCTGAAGTCTGAACGGACGCAGTGGCGAACGCTTGAAACTGCCGAAACAGCAGAAGGCTTGGCAAGATCATTGGAAGAAAAAACATACGGGGAAAAAAAATGAAGAAGAGACTGGTACTTTGTTTCCTCTGTGCTATTTTACTCTTTATCTTGATGATCTCGACCGATAGCGATTTCATTCAACACGCATGGCCAATCAGCGACTCGAACAACATTATGTGCTACGAAGAAGCTAGCACACCTGGTGGCCTTCCGGATTTCGATTCGGAATCGGGTAAGTTCCGTCCATGAAAATTTCTTTCCCTTGAATTCGCTGAACTCGCATGTCGTCGAAACTAACAAGTTACTTATTTATTAACCTTGCCAATCATACGTTTATTTATAATTATATGCATTCAGGTTGGCCAACTCTGTCGTTTTTTTACGATCGAATACCTTTGTACAACTCTACCCTGATTGGGTGAGGAAACTTATGTTTGCATTATGGAGAAAGTAAAGACTGTCACGCTTGAAACAATGGAAACTTGTGGTAAAAGAGGAGAAATCCTCTTGTGAACTGTTCTGTACCTTGAACACATTGCTGATCGAGTAAATTTCCACTTGAATAGGTTAATTAGCGATAATAACGAATGTAATTTATCGAAAAGTTCTAATAATTTCTTTTCAATTGAATCGTCGTATTTTAGAATTTTCTTTTTGCCATCGTTATTAATATAAATATTAACATTGCCTTCAATACACATCGTTTAATTCGAATTTGATTTTGAAACTTTGTCCAAATTATT